ATCAATATTCCACTTGTACAGGATCTTTTCCTGTTTGTGTGGATACAGATTGTCCGACAGACTTGCGTCCGGCATACTTGCGTCGAATCCCGACATCTTGCACGATCAAATTCCGATCGCACGTGTCAAAAACCTCGTACTTGAATAGTTTCGTTTGGAACGTAAAAACTCATATTTCGTCATATCCCAACATTCATCAGCTTGATTTCCTGCTGTTGATATCTGAATGTGGGATCTTTTCCGCCCTGCTGCAGCGGAGGAGGAGCGTTCCAGCTCTTTTAGCCGTTTCAGCTGAGATAGAAAATCTTCTTCCTTGTCATCAGCATCAGCACCTGCTGCAGCAGGAGCTCTCTTCATCTTCTTACAGGCTGACTTTTCGGCTTCTGTCATCTCGGTAACATGGCCACGTTGGATCTTGATTACCCCAGAAATGAAGTGTTTGGATTCTGTAGGAATTTTCATGGAATTGGGACCAATGTAGTCCCCCCCAAATTGGTTTCCGTACCATTCACTCTGCGGCTCCTCTCTCAGTGAATTTGCTTGGTTAATGAGACTATCCAAATACCTGCGGCTCCAGTGTAAAGGCTGCTTACTGGTCTGCAACAGCTTAGTCACTTCATTGATGTTGAACAGCATTTTCCGGATATTTCTTGCTTTGGCCTCAAAGTCCTCTGATTGGTCCATGGGGAAATCCGTGTCCTTATCGGTAAGAGCAAGGATCATTGGGTTTCTCATCCTCAGAAAATTATCCATCATTGTGAAAACGCCAGTCCAACGAGTCTGATTGCGGAGCTGTGGTTTGTAGTGAGTGTGTTTTCGAAGAACACCCATGTTCTTGTTACTTCCCTTGAGTTTAGTCATCGATTCGTGGACCTTGTTGACGGCATCTCCAAGGCCATTGCCATCCCCACCATTTCCCTCTGTGGTGGTGGTTGCTTTGAGCATTTCTTCCACCTGATGGTTCAACAAATGATTGTTGCAAGGGATATGAGGGACTTTCAAATCTCTTGCAGTTTTTTTGTTAGTTGAAGCCGAATCAGCGGTTTGAGCCACCACCCAGTCTTCAAACTCAGGTTTTGAAAAGCCATACCTAGAACCAAAGACATGCTCCCGAATGAAATTCACATGAACCTTAGCTGTGAACTCAGATGTTGATGAATTTTCTTTGTACCTTTGAAAGAAGGATAAGTTGTCAGTATCGACTGCCGTTGCTTCCCCGTTCACCTCCGGCATTTCACAACATGCAAGCATTGAAGTAATAACTTCTTCATTATGTCCTTTGCAGTAGCATGCAATAACACATACATAATGAGAGGAGTACCTGCTCCACCCATCATGAAGGATGGTCCCGGCACTTGTTAATTTCATCTCGTCCTTGATTTGTGTCTCCACAATATACGAAAGCATCAAGATAGTATCCCTCACTTGTTTACTGCCAAAAGTTGTCAGCTTAGCATCACTTGGTGTGCTACCATATACCATTTCCCTGAAAAGGGGGTCATCAACATGCGAGAGCGGAGAGTTTTTGCACACAATAAGTTCCACCCATTTATGCATAGCCTTGTCTTGCGGACCAGACACCCGAAGACCTGCTGGTGCAATTTTTTCAACTGGACAAAATGGAAGCCGCCTCTGTTTTTCCTTCTCTTCATTTGCCTTATCTGCTAAGACTTTTAGTGCTGCCTTATTTTTCTTTGCAAAACAAACTAGAAAATGGTTGAATGGGTTTGTCCATCCAGATTCCCATTTCAGGGGTCCGTCGAGCTTGCAATTCCGTCCGGGACAACAGGCAACCTTGAACTTTTTGGTAATGCCTTGAACGTTTGTAAGTTCTTCTTCCTTGATATTTGTGAAGAGTGCTTTGCAAACATACTCTTGCTCTCCCATTGGCCTACCCCTGCCCATTGTTTTTTGATGATGAAATATGAAATGCGAAATGACGACGGAATATGCAGAGCATTTTTCTTTTGCAGATGAATATCGCCTGCCACCTGCCATCTCTTCCTATTTAATTGCAATTATTGAAAAATTGGCATTGCTAAGGATTATAAATAAATAATTTTAATTTAGCTATGCCTCACTCTAATTAATTGTAATTGGTAAAATTACATAGCAATTAATTGACGTCCGGATGGCTGAGCAATTATGTAATTGCAATATGCAATTGCAATTAATTGCACTGCCAATTCTATTTTACCGACCCCTGAGTCGAATCATCCATCATTACAGTAGTGATAGAGAGCTGTGATTGGCTCATGCAACAACTAATAATAGTCAATCGACTAACTCTCATTGGCTAAATAGGTGCAGATTATGATTCCCAACGTGTCAATACTGTAGTATTATTATAAAAGGCAAAAAAGAGAAAAGGAGATAGCAATTATGACAATGCGATGAAGCATGTAAAGAGGTATAACAATAATAATGATGACTTCACGGTTCGTGCATAACCATTTTGAACCGAGTCCACCTCCAAGTTGCAAAATTCGCCGGAAACACGATCACAGTATGGCGCATGGGCATGGCATGCATGAGATTATGGGCCCCAGAAGGAAAGAAGATTCACACCACATAGCAACCAGTGATGGTTCAACTGGTTCTGCGTTGGGTGGTCCTTTGGGGTCCACAAAAGGTCCCCACATGCAGTAACGTAAAGTTCCCAGGATTATTGGGCTGTATTGGTGCCTGAACTGTGTTAGTGCCTTGTTGGATTGCTTCATGTGCTTCGGTTGCAGAGGTTCTTGGATTTTCATCTTTGCTTCAGTCGGTTTGCCATCGGTCTTTAGGTCCACATGGCCGCTCATGGCCGTCATGGAGGGGGAAAGCCACTTAACAATGAGCTAGTCCCATATGTTTGGTCCTTGCGCTTCGAGGAGTATGCAACTAAGTCATAGATTCGGACTGAATGAATCAATCAAGCATCCGGATAGAACATTATGGAGCCATAGCTCCACTGAATACCTTTCGGACCGAATTGCGAAAGCGAGTCCAGGCACTTGGAAAGCTATTTGAAATGTTCCTTGTATGGAACGGAATCAACAGGAAAGAATATTACCCTCTTGATGGGTAGTGACGAGCGAAATGCAAAGTATCGTCAACAAGTTTCGGACTTGGTGGACAACAACAGCAATGTATCATTGCCTTCTTATCCCCACGTTTCCATGCTGGATGCGGAGGCGATTACAAAGGAATTGATGGAAGAGTTGGTGGCACAAAAGGCCATGCCGGAATGGCTAGAGTATCGAGCAACCACTATCCATTATTTTCTATTGCTACAAGGAATTGGCATGTTGGGAGCCTTTACTTTCTCTTCGTTTTATCTTAGCAAGAGACGGAGTGATTGCCGTCCGTGCAACCATCTCTTGACGGCCTACCCAGGGCTATGGAAGTGATACGAGGGTTGCGGGGTGAAGGAATCTGGAAGCAGCAGATGAAAAGAGAGCAGAAAATGACGCCGTTTCATCTTGCTGGCTTTGCTATCACTCGATTGGTCTAACGCCCAAATGATGGAAGCGATTAGCTTAGCTTCGGACCACCAAGACCACTAGTGATTCCTTCATTCGACCATCTGTTTAGTCGACTGCTATTTATTTGCAAAATACTTTGCTTTGCCATAGCTTTTGTTTTATCTATTTAGTTACTCTATTGAATATGCCATTACATATTATGAAGCTTTCATCGCTTCATGACAAATTTCCTTTGAACGACACCTCTAAGGTCTCCTCAATGTTTTATTCCTTGATGTTTCATTCATCAATCCCCAGTTGTTTGTTTCGCCGTGAGACTTACTCTCGGCTCCCAATTTCCGTAGCCATACCGCTGCAGGAGTAAGTCCCATTCCCCACTTTCGAAGGACTCAAGCACCAGTGACATCCCTGTCTCCAGCCGAGGTTTGAAAGGAGGGGGAGAGGTTGCGTTGTCCCAATGGTGACGTATGGTACGAGGAGGTGGAGACTCTGCGTCTCTTGGTCTTCGAGGGTGAGATTTCTTGCTGTCGTTCAAGTTCACGTTTCTTTGCCGTGAGACTTTCAATCTCCTTTGCCAGATCTTGGATCGACTTTTCGCCATCAGTGCGGCCTGGCGTGAGCGCAGTCGCGTTATTGCCAGGGGTAGAAAGCATCCCATTTGCGACCCAGGTAGAAGGCG